TGCCCAGGCGTGGCATAGCCTAGTGTCTGTTCATGTCCATCCAAGCAGTGAAGGATCTGATCACCCACAGTGTTCTGCTCACAGGAATTAATTGTCGCCCACTGTGGAGGACCTGTCTGGTAGCTCAGGGTGCCCACTGTGCAATTCCCACACCAGACCTGCAGAGCAGGTCTTATATGGCCTCCTGTTTATAAGTGAGAAAATGGAGGCTCAGGGAGGTTCAGTGGCTCGCCTGAGGTCACACAGCTACAAGCCAGTCTGTCCACCTCCAGTGCCTGTCCCTGTAGCCGTGGTCTTACTGGGCCACTCCCTCAATCACCACATTGTCAGACGATCCTGTGAGGCGGACCGCTGTCCCGAGAGATGGCTGCGGGGCCTGGGGACAGCCAGAGGGGCATCTAAGGGCCAGAACCAACCTGTGACACTTTCTGCCTCTTGGACCCTGCGGTCAGGCGGAGACCAACGTGCAGAGGGCCTCGGTGGACACTGGCCGCACCACCCACCAGCTGGAGGAGACGGTGGACGCTTTCCAGAGGCAGAAGCTGAGGGACCTCCAGGTGGGTGTGTGTTTGCACACGCGTGTGAGCATCAAGAGTATGTGGGCCCGTGCCACGTGGCTCTCAGGACCGTCCCTCCTGGCCGCAGGGGCAGGAGGCCGGCACAGCTGGCCGGCAGGAGGCCGTTCCCTGCCCTGGAGCCTGTCTCCGCCCTCGGCCTCTCGCACCCTGACCCCCAGGTGGCCTGACTTCTCCCGAGAGCTGGGTGGACGGAGCCTGCTGAGGGCAGAGGTGGCCATGGGTGCCTTCCCCCCCAGACCCCGGCACAGCGGAAGCCGGGCCTAGAGCCGCCTTGCAGAGGCCTCCGGGGCCCGGTCTTTCGGGATGAGCTGACGCGGGCTCCCTTGCTCCTCTGTCCCTCTTGTCCCTCTTCCAAGCCATAGCCACCCCAGCTCTCTAAAGGGCAGGTCCGGTTTGTCTCTCCTGCTGACCACGCTGGGCTCCCCCATCCTAAGGAGAGAGCGCAATCCTCGGGGCTCCTGGAGGGCTAGTCTGAGGTGCCATCCTGCAGGGACTCCGTGTGGGTGCCAGCACTGTCACCGCGGGGCCTGGCACAGGCTGTGGCCCTCCAGAAGTTTCCACCCCCACCAAATACAGTGACCCCCTCCTCCCTCAGAGGCAGGGTCCCAGGACCCAGGCCGGCAGGCCCCCCCCCGGGCAGCTCTCCCGGGCTGATGGTGCCATATTTAACACGCTCACTGGGTTAACAGACGCTGGGTACACCTGTGGCCGGGCACCGTGCCACAGCAGCCAGCCAGACCCTGCCCCCGGAGCTGCACCCTGGGGGAGGAGACAGGTCATGTGACCAGGTGTGCGGTGAGCCCTGACCCAGGGGTGGAGGACTCGCTAAATGGCCGCTCCCTGCAGGGCGTGTCCCCTGCTGGGTCCTGGCCAGCCGGAGTGAATGTGGTAGTGAGCGAGGACCGACACCGGGCGGGTGAGTGGCACTGGCTATCGGTGCTCCGGCTCCGCAGGCCCAGGGCACTTGGCCACTGTTGTGAAGCACCTGGTGGGTACAGGACTCTGTGGGCACCACGGCCAGGGGTCAGCAGGAGCACGCAAGGACAGGCTCAAGTTTGCAAGAGACCCTTATCCAGACCGACCCCACCAAGGTCTCCAAACTGTAGAAGACCACAATGAGAACTTGAGCTCTTTAATTTTACCATAATGTTGGGTTCAGGTCACTTTTCCAACAAAATGGTCCCGTGGCTGCGACCTTCTTCCTGGGTGCACTTCAGAAATCCCCTGAGGGCTCTTTAGCCACAGGGCAAAGGGCGGCTGGGGACTCTAAGTGGAGGGTCTGGGTGACCCTGCTGAGGATGAGGCCCACTCTGTGGACCGCTGCTCCACCGGGCTCCCAGGGGTCTGTAGGTTGGGAATACTCTACACCCCTGCGCAGGGAGGCAGACAGCCGGGGAGGGCAGGCCAGCTCCCCAGGGCCACCTGCCACAAGAGGGGAAGGAGGCCTTCGACCCAGCCTCCAGCCTGACAGCTGCTGTTGGCCCGGGCTGCCTCCTGGGCGGGGGGCCGGGAAGGCAGGTGTTCCCGGCCCAGCTGGACCCCCCCCCCTCCCCCAGACTGTGGAACTCCCCCCTCCCTGAACTTTCAAACAGCAGCCCCCTCCCACCCCGGCACTCAGCTGTGTCCTGCTGGGGCCAGGGCAGGCAGGATTGTCCACTGGGCCCCGCCCTGCAGGAGCCTGGGCCTGGGGCAGCAGAGACCACCAGGGCCAGCTGATCCAGAGAAGTGTAACTGGACGGTCAGTCGTCATGGCTTCCAGGCTGGGCGGCGTCTCCCTGCAGCCCCCCTGCTCTCCAGGGAGGCCCACTTGCAGCCGGAGCCTGCAGACAACTGCCCGCTGAGGGGGAAGGCCGCCGTGAGCCAGGCGGGGCTGAGGACTGGGCCTGGAAGGTCCTCCTGACCACCAGCCCTCCCACACGTCCAGTACCCTCTGGGGCAGGGCAAATGGGCAGTGTGATGGCCACCCCAGTGCTTTTGACCTTGGGCCCCTGGGATTCACCCACAGGTAGATCAGCCGGGAATGAAAGGGTGTCTGTGGAGGGTCTCTGTGACTGCTGCGTCCCCGACAGCAGACCTGGAAACCAGCCAAGTGCCCCGGGGCTGGGGGGGGTCAAATCAGTCAGAGTCGCCCACGGGCCAATGGGAGGCAGGAATGAAGAGAGCTTCCTGCCTCAGGAGAGCCCAGTAACCAGGACAAAGGAGAGCTCATCCTCCAGGGACCTTCTGGAAGTTTCTATCTCAAGGAAGAGAAGGGGAGGGGAAGGGCAGGAAGGGGCAGGTGTCCTCAGCGAGGACTTCCTGCAGTCTGACTTTGAGCCGTGCAACAGCATCATCTAGTTCAAACACAAATAAACGAAAACTGACCTTGAAATTCCCTGAAGGACCCCCACCCGGCCCCGCGGGTGCTGACGTCACAGGGCTTCCCTCCCACAGAGGATTTTCTCGGACTTTGTGACCATCGAGATGGTCTTCCATGCCAAGGCGGTGGAGGTGTATTCCAGAGCCTTCCAGACGCTGGAGAAGTACAGCCCGGAGAGAGACCTGCAGGTGGGCACAGCCCCGCTGTCCCTGGGTGGCTGGGCTGGAGTGTGACCTGGGTTCCGCCTTCACGGGGCAGTCGGCTGGGAGCGTTTTGCAGCTGTCCTGACTGTGTCCTGATGACCTAAAAGCCCACGGGCCTTCCTAGGACACCTGTCCAGCTGCTCAGTCTGTTTCTGTGGGTGTCCCCGTGTTCGGCAGAGGTGGGCCGGGTGGGTGAAACACCCCCTCTGGGTGTCGTTGGAATGTCATGTGGTCATCGCGACGGGCAGCGCAACACCTCAGACAGCCAGCAGCACGCCTCCCGGCCCACGCTCCGTCTGGCCATGAAGTACCAAGTGCCCGTCACCCTGGTGGGACCTGAGTAGAGAAGCGTTCTTGTAACAACGTGCCCACGCAGGCTGTGAGGCAGTCACTGGCTGCCGGCATCTCTGTGGCTCAGGCTGATGGGGCTCCCTGGCCTGTGTGCACACATGCTGGTCAGGCACAGGCCGCTCCCGCCAGCCGGCAGGTGAGGGCCAGGCGGTAGGCAGGTGAGGGCCAGGCGATCAGCAGGTGAGGGCCAGGCGATCGGCAGGCCCGGTGCCTGAGAGGTCACGGTGCCCTTGCTCTGGGCAGAGCACCCAGCGAGCACGTGTCCTCCTGGCGAGGGGCCCTGGGACATGCTACACTCCCTCGAGGCCTGCCCCCAGACCCTCACTGGGCTGCAGCTGACCCCCACCTCGGCTCCCACATGGCGTGGGCTCCCTCACCCATGGCGGCTGCTCCAAGCAGTGCCCTGAGATGCGGGCGGCACAGAGGCAGCTTCTGCCGCTCTGTTAGACGTGGGCCCCGAGCGTGGCTGGCATTCGAGGGCAGGGGATCCCTCCCAGTTCCAAGCTCTGGTGCCACCTCGAATCTCCACGGGCTCTTCCAGGCTCAGGTGCCTTCCAGCGTCCTTCCTCCTGACTGTGGACCTGTTCCCCGGCCTCCCTGGGCCTCAGTTTTCCCATCTACACGATGAGATGAAAACACCCGCTCAGGGCCTGCTAAGGTCGCCAGGGCTCACGGGCAGGAAGGCCCAGTTAGGACCTTGGGCCCCGTTGGTGTGAGCTGGCCGGAGCCTTCCTACTCCCACCCTGAGCTGGCCAGTTGTGTTCACCCCCCCGGGTCCTTCCTCAGGATTTTAGGGCCAAGATGCACGGAGGGTCGGGGCATCACCTGGCCCGGCCCCTCTTGGATGCCAGCCCCTCTCCATCTGTGCCGTGGCCTCCAGGCAGCCAGGTGAGACTTGGGTGTGGGCGGGAGTGGAGCCCGGGACAAAGTGAAGGGAGCGGGATGGGGGCCACCCCGAGGCCAGGGCACAGGGCAGCGCTGGGTCCCGAATCCGCCCTGGACTTTGCCTTGAAGGGGACAGGCACTCGCCGCCCCTTGCCGGCTGGGGGCTCCCGGTGGCAGTGTGTGCCCCGAGCGCCCCCTGGAGGCATTCTGAGGAGTGTCCACTGCAGACAGGTCCCCACCTGTGTCCTGACCCCTGGGGGCAGGGCTAAGAAGTCAGTCAGGTCCCCTGTCATCTCACAGCCCTGGGCACCTTCACAGGAGACCTTCATAAGTTCGGCCCCGGGCCCCAGGGCAGGCGTGGTCCTGAGAGCCGTGGTGGTGGGGGGGGGGGGGGGCGGGGGTTGGGGGGCATCCTCCCTAGAGCAGAAGAGGAGAGCAGCCCCAGCCAGGCCGCCTCCCAAGCCACTGCGGCAGCACGGGCCCTGGGGACTGGCTTGTATCTGTTGGGCTGTTTCTGTGACGACCAGGGTGGTGACGGTGACAATCACTGTTGTTCAGGGCGCTCAGAGCACCGTGCGCAGCCAGAGGAGAGAAGATGAGCAGAGTGGGGACTCGGTGGAGGAGGACCTCGGGGGACAGGAGCAGGGGCCCCGTCATTAGGGCAGAATTCCCAGGACAGGTGGGAGGACGGGGCTGACCGGGCCCTGGGGCAGGTGGGCCCTGCACCTGCGGCTCCCCACCCCCACGGAGGCTGCTCTGAGCTGGGCGGTGGCCTGTGCCTGGGCAGAGTAGGTGTTCAGTGAGGCCCACGTGACACGCTGCCTTCAGATCTGGGGACAGGTCACCCACACTGATATTGGAAGCACAGCAGACCCATGTCCTGGGGCTGACCAGCAGGTGCCAGGCCCCGGGGAGGGGCCCACAGCACCAGGACTGCACCCTGCTGTTCTGGGGTCCAGGCAGGCGACCTGAGAAGGAGCTTTGGCAGGGCCGCGGCCACCCTTCCCCTTCCTGGTGGTGCCCGTGCCTGACGGCAGCCTTCCACCTCACGGGCCGTGTGCACAGCCTCCCGTCACGCGGGTTTCAGGCTCGCCGTGCTCTGCCCAGGTCAGACTCCAATGCACAAGTTCAGCTGTGACCCACGATGTGATGTGTAGGGGTGACCTGGGGACCACGACACGTCATGGAAGTCCACAGGCCTCGGGGGTGACAGGAAGAGGTGGCGGTCTGCAGGAGGCTGCCTGCTGGTCCTTGACCCTCCCCAGGCCAGCCAGGGGCCTGCCCCTCCCCGAAGGGCGTGACGGGTGAGGCTGGGGCTCTGGATACACCCGAGGTGGTGTCTCTGAATGCCATGCACCACCGAGTCGGCATGTGGACAGGTGTGCCCGGGGCCTGAAGCCTGGGCACCTCCCCTGTCCCAGCCCCACCCTCGGAGCCCCTCCCTGCATCTGAATTCCGGCGTGACGCTGTGGGCAGCAGAATCTCAAACGGGCTGAATGTCCCACAGGGACATGGAGCCGGAGGGAAGTGCCCCCAGCTGTGTCCCAGGCTGCATCAGGAGCCTCTTGGCACCGTGAGGGGCCACGGTGCGGAATCAGGGTCATCTGTGCTCCCAATGGCTCAGTCCCCCAAAGACCGTGGCTGGGGGCTGCCCGCCCCATGGTGCCTCCAGCCGGCCTCGTGGGCAAACGCCCCCCTCTGAGCTGAGCAGCACTGGGTTTGGGCCCCCACGTGGGTGCCACGGCTTGCTCACCAGCAAAGTGGGAGACACACGTCTTCCTCTGGGATCACTGTGGGGCCAGCGTCCTCACCACAGTGACTTTTACGACCAGAGGTCCCGCTGCTGGACCCCTGCAGGAGCCGCCCAACTCGCCCAGCAGGACGCTCCCTCCCAGGGTAACTGAGGCCCGCCAGCTGTCCGCGGGGCAGGAGGTGTGGACAGTGGGCCGTCCTTGGCATGACTTTGCACGGGGAGTGGTCACACTGTGTATTTCCCCCTTGCTCTACGCCGTCTGTGGGACCGTGAGCACACACACCTTCCACGCCGTGTCCCCACTGCACGCGTGGTTTCTGGAGGGAGGTGGCCGCGCTGGCCCTGTGTGGTCCCAGGGCTGAGCAGCGCCTGGCACGCAGTGGGTGCTCACCAGTGTGAGCTGGCTGAGCGGGGCCTCCCCCTTCCCCTCTGCCCCAGCGAGCAGAGAGGCCCATTGTTCCTAGGAGCAGCTTGGATGGTCGCCAAGGGCCGCCTTGTCACTGTCTCCTTGGGTGGTCACTTGGAAAGAAGCAATAAAATTCCAAGATTCTTTCTTGGGCAGGAGGGGAAGGGGGACGAGGCCCCTCGAGGTGAGTCTCTGTCCTCGGCGCCGGTCCTACCTG